CTTGAAAATCAGTGATTTAAGGCATTTGGAAATCAGTGTTGTAAGGCATTTGGAAATCAGCGTTGTAAGGCATTTAAAAATCAGTGTTTTAAGGCATTTAAAAATCAGTTTTGCAAGGCATTTAAAAATCAGTGTTGTAGGGCATTTGAAAATCAGTGTTGTAAGGCATTTGGATATCAGTGTTGTAAGGCATTTGGAAATCAGTGTTGTAAGGCATTTAAAGTCAGTGTTGGAAGGCATTTAAAGTCAGTGTTGGAAGGCATTTGAACATCAGTGTTGTAAGACATTTCTAAAGACTTGGATACATTAATCTCTCTAAATCCCTCACGATTTAACAGAATTTAAAAAATTTAAAGAAATTTTCTATTTGTGATTCTATGGTCAAATGTAACAAAAATAACGCATTTCCATAAGAGACTAGCAACAGACAGCTGGCCTTGTTCAGGTTTATATTCGCTTAGAAGAAGATTTCTAACATTTTTTTCATAGGTGGTGTTTGAGCTTGGTTTTATTTCACGCACGGCGAAATTTATTATGCCATCTGCATATTTTCTTTTCGGCAGTTCTTTCGATGTGATTCACAAATTTTAAAGATTTTTTTTTACGTTAAAAATTGAAAATGGTGGAAAACGAGATGCATTTTTTGTCATTTGAAGCCATTTTTATTTCCGAAAAAAAAAAAAAAAAAAACATTATAAAAAAAAAAATTGATAGATTCTGTTTCTGGAGATATCTGAGAATACTATTCGAAAATACTTCGCTGCGTTTAAAAGTGGGCATTTTGATCTCGTACACCGGAACGACCACGTATGTCGACATGCTGATTAAATTAATCCAGATCACAGAACACGGGACCTCGCAGAAATACACCGGTTATCTCCAAACAATTGACAATATCAGTTCGAGATTTAAGCAATTACCACTATTCCCCCTCCCCCACACTGAGGTTAGTTTAGACTGGTAGGAAGCCACACAGATTCCTGCACCAGTGAATAATATCGCATTAAATATATCCTGTAAGTTCAGCATGATATTTATCGCCTTACGATGGCGGCATCCACTTGATATTTTTCAATGGTAACTTACTCTGACGAATGGTTAAATAAAGGGGAGAAGATTGTTGTGTCAAGTGGAAGCATTCGAAATATTAATAGCTTTTGCCTGGTTCTGAACATCGACCATGGAAAAATGAAACTGCTACAGCCACCAAGTAGAATTCTCCCTCTTTATCTCTTTCTTTATTGTACTAAAACAGAGAGAAAAAAAGAGAAACATACAGATAGAAAGTGGGAGGTGGAGTGAGAGGGAGAGAGAGAAATTGTGTAATAGAGATTGAGAGAGAGAGAGAGAGAGAGAGAGGACAATTAGAAATCAGAAAGAAAGAAAAAAAAAGAAAAGTAGCAATCAGAATGAGAGAGAGTAAGAAAGAGAGAGGGAGAGAGTTGGGAAGTGGGAGGGGGAATCAGATAAAGAGAATAAAGAGAGAAAATAGGAGTCAGAGAAAGGGGGAGGAAGACTGAGATAGAAAGTAGGGATCAAAGAGTGAGATAAAAAGAGAGAAAGGTGGCGTCGGAGAAAGTAGAAATCAGAGAATGAGAGAGAGAAATTAGGTGTCAGAGAGCGAGAGAAATAAGGTATTGAAAGACAGAAAGATAGTGGATGTCAGAGAAAACGAGAGGGAGAGGGAGAGAGAGAGGGTGGAGAGAGAGAGAGAGAGGGTGGGGAGAGAGAGAGAGAGAGAGAGAGGAGGAGGAGGAAAAAACGTTAACCAGTGTATTCGTGAAATATAATTCTTTTTAAGTCTAGCAGTCTTTGTAATTAAAGCGCTCAATATAAAGAGATAAAGATTTAATAGTATCAAATAATCGTAGCAAATAAAATTAACGGTTAACTTATCTGTACTCATCTGAGTTTCTTAAAGATTTAGTACTTCAATTACAAAGATTACTTGCCTGAAAACGAATACGTAGATCGACATTTTTTTATTTTTATTTTTTGGCGGAACAATCTTTGCTACTGTTATTAATAGCTCGTGTGTATTTTATTAATTGTGTACAATTTTACAGATTTTGTATTAAATTTATTAACTGTGGTATATATTGTAGCTGCCTCATTATATATATATATATATATATTATATATATATATATATATATATATATATATATATATATATATATATATATATATATATATGTAGTTTATGGAAAACTAGGTAATCCTTATGGGTAGACCGAAGGAGGATAAAATCCAGTGAGCTCAATGTAAATCCAGAGCAAATAATTTAAATAAAAACAGACCACTTTAAGGTTCCATGTAATATATTATTTCACCACATCCCTTTTAAAAGGACTGCGGATCATCAGACTTTACCTGCAAAGGTTGAAACGAAAAAGATTTCAATGATTTTGTTTCAACCTTTGGAAGTAAAGTCTGATGATCCGCAGTCCTTTAAAAGGGCTCTGTGAAAAATATATTACATGGAACCTTAAAGTGGTCTGTTTTTATTAATATATATATATATATATATATATATATATATATATATATATATATATATATATATATAATAAAAAAAGGCTTAAACACTAATAAGACTTTTTATTATATCCTTACTCTGTCCTGGACATTGAGTTCTACCTGGATTCTTCCTCTTGGAACTTTTATTCTAAAATATACATGTATGGGTATTTATATATTTTGCATATGTATGTATATTTACCACTAATATTATCTATCTATCTATCTATCTATCTATCTATCTATCTATCTATATATATATATATATATATATATATCGTACCTGTCTATATTTCTGAGATGAGATATTATGTACCTTATTTACATTATTCGGACTATTGTCCTCATCTTAGTCGACATATTTATTACAACGTTTCAGCCGTTGTACGCTCTGGCCTTCTTCAGGTGGTTGGAATGTCGAACTGAACTCCTCCCTACTTGCTGTGAAGGGTGAATTAAGAGCCCTCCTCAAGAGCTATCTTAAAGTATATATTTATCGAGCGGCGTTTACACACATACACACACACACATATATATATATATACATCTTATGAAATGGACAAAGTCCGACAATTATTTTAAGACATTTTTTATGTTTATACCTTCTTTTTATAGATACAAATATTTAAGTAATTGCTCTGTTTATAATTGTAAGTATTAACAACATATTCCGGCCTGAATGTCCGAAAAATTTTCATAGAAAATATGCGCCCTCCAACAGGAATCGAACCTGTATCCTATACGGAACCGTCATATAGCCTGACGTGCTTTTACCGATTGAGACACAGAGGAGCGTTTCGGTTAGCAAGGTCGATTTCTCTTATACATTCATATCTGCTCGGTGCGTATCCAAATGTAAACAAATGACGTGACACATTATGAAATAGACAAAGTCCGACAATTCTTTTAAGACATTTTTTAAGATGCATATTTTCTATGAAAATTTCTCGGACATTCAGGCCGGTAAATGTTGTTAATACTGTTTATTATAAAACAGAACATTTACTTAAATATTTGTATCTTATGTATCTTCTGTATCTTATATATAAACATAAAAATGTCTATTATATATATATATATATATATATATATATATGCGAATTTGTAAACAATGACTTCTAGTGCTAATACTGCAAAGTTCTTCTAAGAATTGAGCCCTTTCGGTTATTGGCGTGTTTTTTCGTAGAATAAGTACGTAAAAATCTGCCTTCCTCTCTACCAGCGCTGATAGCTCAGGGTAAAATCTCCGACTGATGTCAAGTCAGTCGGGTTTCTATCTAGCCACAAGGATGCAGCGAAACAGTCTATCTGTGGTGGACATTACACACACACACACACACACATATATATATATATATATATATATATATAGAGAGAGAGAGAGAGACACACAGACACACCCACCATAGTTTTTTGGTTTTTTTACAATGATATTCACTCTGTACAAGAGCCAAGAGAGACTCGAGTTAGTGGGTTGCCCAGTTTATGCGATATGTGGGATATATAACGGTTATTCCTAGATTTGAACACGTTGAGATTATAGTGATCGGAGAAGCATCCTCTTGGGAGACGGTTCCACAAAGCACCATTTCATGGGAAGAAGGTGTTCGAGTGGAATTTAGATTCCACCAAAGGAATACGAAGCGAATGACGGTTTTTCGATCCCATGTTCGTAAGATGGCGAGACTTGGCCTTGAAGATTAGAACAGATGGGACTGAGGAATATAAATAGCTATAGAGCAACGAGAGGCTTGCGATATTTCGCCAGTGAGAAAGCGATTGTAGGGTGGTCAATAATTCCGTGACGCCTTTGGACTCTATCGAGACTGGACAGTGAAGACTGGGCAGCAGCCTGACCGTATATGGTAGCAGTAATTCATTTTCGGCCTGATCTCTGGTAAAGATAGAAGATAGTAGGAGGAGTCAGGTACTTACTGGTGCGGTACAGGAGACCGACCAATTTTCCAACATCTTTAGCGATGAGTCGTATGTACGCGTACCAATTGAGGTCTGGGTGGTGTTCAAGTCTCAACAAGCGCTCAACGCGTGTGACCTCCCCCAAAGGATACCCATTCATTGCGACTGGTGAAAGTTCTGAACCTGCACATGCATGTTAATTTAAGATATTCATTAAAAATATTCCCACACCTACAATTATGACAATTGACATTTATGCAGATCGCTATTTTAAACCGGTTCTAAAACGATATTTATTTTAAGTTTATAGAGACGATTTTAAACGTAGATTTACTTTTGATTGATTTATAAGGTATTTAAATAGACTTTTTCATAAATAAATTTTACTCAATGCAAGGCTCGAGAGCCAATCAAGATAGAGGCTTACAGTTAAAACAGTAATGCTGAATGAAGGTGTGATATGAATGGAAGGAAATGCGATATGAAATTCAAATTTGGAGTCTAAAAGGGAAAGATGACGATTGACCTTTGACTTGCAAAGGTCAAGATTAAAGGAATCAGACTTACGGCCACATCACGTTGAAAAACCGTTTCCCGTACGGTCACCGAAGTTAAGCAACGTCGAGACTGAGTAGTAACTGGATGGGTGAACGTTTGCGAATACCAAGTGCTGTAAGCTTGGAAGTGTGGGTGGTGTAATCGATAATGGCTTGGAATTGTTAATTGGAGTTCCAATTCCGGTTGGGTTCGTTATATTCACTTAGGAAAGCTATGAATTAACCTCTTCTCTTTCCAGATACGGATTAATTATTAAGGTTTGTAGCAGTAAACCATTAATATTACCCTCCACAAAAAATTTAAAGAATCGATAAACCGGAGAAAACGAATTAGTCAATCATAAAGTATTCAGGAAAATACCAATGCAAGAATCTATTCCACAAAATATTGGGTTGGTGCATAATTATCAGGCGTTTTTCTAGGCGAGTTATTTGTTAATAAAAATTGTTCTTTTGTTTACTTTTTTAATAAAAATATAATTTTATTTTCAGATTATAAAAATGTGTGTCGATAATCATACGCTCCGGAATAATCATTTAAAAATGTTATTGTTGAATTGTTATGTTTCTTTTTTTTCATAATAAATATTGTTTAAAAAATGCTTGATAATTATGCACCAACCCAATAGTAGTTGTTTGGGGATAACGCTTTTTTTCTTCTTCTTACATTTGTAACACGGGGGAAATGAGGATAATTCCACTACATGGAAGTGTCGTGAAGAATACTAGCTGGTTTGCTTTATGTTTAACAAAAATGTATTGCTGATAATAATTTTTACCAAAAATGTATTGCTGGTAATAATTTTTACCAAAAATGTATTGTTGGTAATAATTTTTACCAAAAATGTATTGTTGGTAGTTATAAAGGAATAAAGTGTCGCTACCGACACTGGAGTTTGAACACAGATCACCATTAAGCAAACATAGGCGATCCCATTTTTGAATAAGTAGATCACGTGATGGTAAAGGAAATGTCTATATGGGAATTAGCGTGGCGTCTAATTGATCACTATTTCTGCTCTATCCTCTTTTACTATACGGATTGCTATTCTCTATACTATTCAATATACTATTTCTCTATACTGATCCCTATGCGGATTACTATTCGGTGGTTACAATTCGAGCGAGTATTATTGAGCAAGTACTATTAGTGCAAGGGTTATTCGAAGGCGTCTGACACTAGTATTGTTCAACGGCGTTGCTATAGTTGTATCCGCGATTATAAAGTCTCTACTACAACGAACATTACAAAAGTGACAACGAATGTTCGTTGACATTACAAAAGTGTCAACTGGAAGAATTTAGAAAACGCTATTGTAACAGAATTACTACTTTCCCAAACAAACGCACAATAAAAACAATATTTTCACACGTGACAGTACTTAACGTAACTTTCAGCTGACAACAAGAATATAATAAAGTTTTCTAGATTCTAGTTCCTAAGGACATTTTGTTTTGTTATTAATAGTTACTTTGTTTTAATAAATTTATTTCGTTTTTGCCTTGAAAAAGTTCACATTGGACGAAACGCGTCGGCTAATATTACAGTTTTCCTATTGTCTTTTACATTTATAAATATTGTCTTTTTTCCTACAGGTTAACTCTGAAAATTTTTCATATATATATATATATATATATATATATATATATATATATATATAGGGAGAGAGAGAGAAATATGTTAAATTAAAAAGAACAACATGAGAGGCGAAGACACGATACTTGAAAAATGATGTAACTGACAGTGCAAAAAGAAAAAAAATTCTTTGTTAATAGCTGATAAAAACCGGAAATCCTCTGATATTGGACTATTGATAGTTTAATATGCATTGTAAGCCAGAGAAATGATCAAAAACAGAAGAAAGAAATAAATAAATCCCTAGCAAAGCTCATTCACTAGTTTTTAACTAAATTTTATAAGTGAAATGTTAATTACTTAGTTTTAATCATTTCACCCCAACCAAAGCAATAAAATCTCTGAGACACAAAGGGTTACTGAGTGTTAGAGAATATTAGAAAAAAAACTATTAAAGGAGAGAATAAAAGAATAGGAATTACACGATAACGATTGACAATGCATTTAAATTTTTGAAAATAATCAAACTGGACTGTGAAGCAAGTCGCTGGAAGAAATTTCCACGAGCGAGAAATGCTATAGAAGAAACTCTTAGCATAGAACTTGCGGTCACATCTAGGCTTTTCAACGGTAAAACGATGGGACCCTGCCGCTAATCTAGTACTGCGCTTAATTTCATGAAGTTTAGATATCACAGAGGAAAGTTCGTCCGAACAATTACCATTAAAGGATTTATACAAAAGGTAGAGGAACGCTACGTTACGGCGATGGGAAAGTGACTGAAGCCGAGATGCCAGGTCAGGGCCAATATCTTTGTTGATTCTTTGGATTTTATCAAGAATCGTTAAATATATAGCAGGGGCATCAGACAAGATGTGGCATCAATATTCAAAGCAAGGGCGAATGGTAGACTTATAAATATATCTCTATCTATAAAAGGCAGGATGTGTGTGTGTCTGTGACGAATGCACGGCCGCAATTTTAGACGGATTTGCACCAAAATTTACATGCACATGCTCCAAGTTAGCGGCAAAGCCAAGACCGACATTGCATTTCCTAACTCCCATCGATAGTGGTAATAATCGATTTTTTCATGCTTCTACGGCAGTTTTCATGTAGTTTGCGGCCATTTTCTACTGGCCAGCGTGAGAGCCAACAGCTGACTGACACGAATGTTAACTAGCATGCAAAAAATCAATAGCTGCATTCGTCACAAGTGGGAAAAATTACTGATGGCACTTTACTCCAATTGGCTCATTCGCTTGCTTAAACTCAACGTTGATTCTGTTTCCGCAGAACTGGGTTGGGTGTGAAAAAGTATTTATTGTTAACATTCTTTTTTCATTCGGTTTTTCCAGTTACGAGTCATTTCTTGAAGCTGATCGTTTTGTGTTCATTTTGTTTAGTTCTTTTTTCGTAACAGATTTAATGTTTAGTATAGAGTTTAGAAAAAATTCGCAGTGTGAGATAGGCAAGAAGTAAGGCATATAGCAACATCAGCACGGCAAAGGGCACTCCTTTTAAGGCAAGGAAGTGCAAAAATGTTTTAAGTCAAGTGATAGCGATTTCTGCATGAGTTGTACGATTTTTGAATCAAGCACAAGCAACGCCGGGCCATGCTGCTAGTGTAAGATAAATTGTCTAGCATGACACATTTGAACCAAATTTCCTAGCAGCTGACCTAGCAATTGATTCGATATAATCTTCATGTCACCGGAAAACGTTAGTCCGAGAAGGCGCAATAAGTCCCTCTCGTGTCTATTTGAATTTGGTTTGTATTTAAATGGAAATAAATACAACCACCTCAGTGACTTCATTTTCACTATTTAAATTATTCGGACTATTGTCTTCATCTTTGTCGCCATATTTATTACAGAGATTCGGCCGGCCTTTGTACGCTCCGGCCATTTTCAGGTGGTTGGAATGTCGAACTGAACCCTTTATTTCACTCACTGGAGTAGTCTGTTCTAGTTTCACGTGCCATGTTTAATGGATGTCAGTTATCTCCTGTTAATTCTCCTCTCCAAGTTCTCCCCTGCCTTAAACGGGTATTGAACTCACACTCTTTAGGCCTTGTCACTGAATCTAACCAACGCCTTTATCCACTGTGCCATGTGTTCTTAAGTGGTTAAGGCAGTGGAGAACTTGGCGAGGGGAATTAACAGGAGAAAACTGATAACTGACATCCATTAGACATGGCACGTGGAACTAGAACAGTCTACTCCAGTGAGTGAAATAAAGGGTTTAGTTCGACATTCCAACCACCTGAAGAAGGCCGGAGCGTATAACAACCAAAACGTAATAGATATGGCAACAAAGATGAGAACAATAGTCCGAATAATGTAGATAGTGTACATAATACCTCATCTCAGAAATATAGACAGATACTGAAAGGGCGAAACCTTGTAATAAATATGGCGACAAAGATGAGGACAATAGTCGTCCGAATAATGTAAATAGTGTACATAATACCTCATCTCAGAAATATAGACAGATACTGAAAGGCCGAAACGTTGTAATAAATATGGCAACAAAGATGAGAACAATAGTCCGAAAATGTAGATGTACATAATACTTCATCTCAGAAATAGACAGATAGACAGATAGAAAGGGCGAAACGTTGTAATAAATCAACAAAGATGAGAACAATAGTCCGAATAATGTAGATAGTGTACATAATACTTCATCTCAGAAATATAGACAGATACTGAAAGGCCAAAGATGAGAAACGTTGTAATAAATATGGCAACAAAAAGATGAGAACAATAGTCCGAATAATGTAGATAGTGTACATAATACCTCATCTCAGAAATATAGACAGATACTGAAAGGCCGAAACGTTGTAATAAATATGGCAACAAAAAGATGAGAATCTCAGAAAATAGTCCGAATAATGCAACAAAGATAGTGTACATAATACTTCATCTCAGAAATATAGACAGATACTGAAAGGGCGAAACCTTGTAATAAATATGGCGACAAAGATGAGGACAATAGTCGTCCGAATAATGTAAATAGTGTATATAATACCTCATCCCAGATACTGACTTCATTTTGTTTTGTTTTTTTCTCATTTTTCTAACTAAATTTATTAGAGTTTGTCTTTCATCACAGTGATCTTTTTTATGTGCCTAAGAGAGAGTTCAAGAAGTTATTTTTCCTGATAATTCTTCAAATGTCATTACAATTACCCTGCCATATTGCCAACAATGAACAGCTTCTTTTAGTTGAAAAAACATGATAAAAGGCGTGAACTTTTTCTTTTAAAAATCAGTTATAGTCTAAAATATGTATTCTGTTTGTATTGGGCTTAATAGACCTCAATGAAAGGAAGAAGGCAATTATTAGCTTTCCAGATTGGAAGGTTTCGTGCACTTTTTGATGAAGTTCATTGCCTCAGGACTATCAAAAAGTTGAGAGAAAGAAATGTGGATATTCCACTGAGCACTATTCGCAGTACGATTCACTATAATGAAGAAAAACATTCACGAGACAGAAAATTTGGTTGAGGAAGAAAAAAAAAATTACCTCTCAGCTCAAGATGCAAAAGAAAAAAAATGGCTTAAATGGCTTCGACTGACAGGAGTCAGACAACGACACCTTTGTTGAGGTTTTCTTATAGAAACCTGATACGAATAAAGAGACCTTATGACACTATGTCTGAATACATTTTTTTCCTTCATGGGAATTATGACTTTTTTTTTTATTTTTGAAAAGAGAATGAAAATATATATATATATATATATATAATAGATTTTGCATATGTTTCATTTATTCTATTGGTTTTGTTTACATTAGTGCAGGTTACTATGGAAACGGAATTGAAAATAATTTTACTATAGAAATGAATCATAAATGATTGCCTTTTATATTAGAATGCATTTTTATTTGCTAACTTTCAAAATTTATCAGAACTTATTTTCCATTTCTGAACTCATTTTTCAGGTGATTAATTCTGGAATGATAATTATCATTATGATGCGTTTTTATAGCCCCCGAGAGAGAGGATGTGACGTTATGGTGTTAATATTTAACAGCCCCCCCACCACCACCACCACCATGAGGGATGTATGTGGCACAAGGCCGAGTTTACCGTGGGTTCTCCGAGCCCGTAGGCTCGGCTAAAAATATTCGCTTAGAACCCTCATAAACCTGGCCTGTCTACCTCCCGAGAAGAAACTTTGCCCTTCGGCAAAGCCTCGTCCGGGTTCCTCTCTGCTCAAGGCAGAGAGTTCGACAGTAAGGAACAATCTATTCGACTGTTCCTCATGTGGCGTCAGGTTGTTTAGAGGATTGATTGGCGGATGAGGAAAATTGTAACGATTGAATGGTTCGTGAATCCAATTAACTAGGTATAAGATAATAAAGAGCAGCCTCAACCCATTCCGATATTTCGGCCTTAATTGTATTAATTTACAATAAATATAGATTAATTCTGGAGTGAGTTTATAAAAAATAATTTTTATTACTCATAGTTATATTTAAGGACAATTCTTCAAATACCTTTAAAATCACTGAGAAAGTCGACTTCTTTTGGTTGAGAACACATGTTAGCAGCAGGCTTGGATAGTTCTTCTAAAATGTAAACGACTTCTAAATGGAGTGGGTTGAAAAGAGTTGATGTTCGTTGGTTGATTTTGCTTAGTGGTTTATCAAAACTTCAATGAGTCATTTAATGCCGAATTCTAAATATTTTGAATACTGTTTTATGGCTTCAACTAAATATATTTTGAACGTAATTGTATGCCTTCAACTACAGGTAAAATATATTCTTGGTACTTCTACTATAAAATGTATTGTTGGTCATTCTACTATAAAATGTGTTGCTGGTACTTCTACTATAAAAGGCATTGTTGGTAATTCGACTATAAAATGTGTTGCTGGTAATTCTACCATAAAATGCATTGTTGGTACTATATGTATTGTTGGTAATAATGGAGGTAACTAATAATACATCTTGTTCAACAGTTAATGGGTGATAATATCACATGTCGGGTAAATAATATCGCATCGTTGTCAGCGATATAACAGAAGAGAGTTATGGTAGAAAAGTTTTTTCTCTCATCAGTATTTTCCCCATTATGGGCATTATTATATCCGTGAGTTAATAACCCCGTATTTCACGAACGGAACGGAATGGCTTAAAGGAAAAGTAATGACAAACATAATTTGTTCTCAGAGAGACTTTTATACTACTAAGAATGTGTCCCACGCGGAGAACAATGTATCAGAGCAGAGTGTAAGAATAAACAAAAAGGAGAGGAGTTGCACATGATATGGAAAGTCTTCTACTTCTGGAGAAGTCATGTTTAGGACTCCAGATTCAAACCGGCCTTATTCATCTATTATGTCGTAGGCGAGGACATATTCCAGGAAGGGGAAACAGCGAGTCTTGGGTTTTCACAAATTTAGGGCTGCGAGGTGGACTTTCTTTCTCTATCTGGGAAAGATATAAACCAAAAAGGAAACGGTACCATGGACTTGTAAACTGTAGCATTTGGCAACTGGTTGCCTCGGGCAAAAGCAAGGGCAGGACGAATAAATTCGCGTGTCTTGTTACCAGTAAGCTTACTGACTGAATAACTGATCAATTTTGTCACTGTATGAAGTGACGTCAGTAAGAAGACGTCACGTAACCCGTGTGATTTATCTCCACCAAAGGGAGATAATCGCCTTCTGTATTCCTACGTAAATGTTACTATAAATATGAATTGTTGTTAATTTTATTACAAATATGTATTGTTGGTAATTTGTTTTTATATAAAAATGTATTGCTGTTATTCTTACTATAAAAATATATTTTTTATAATTTCATAGTATTTTGTTTGAAGGTTCACTATTTGTTCATAGTTGGGACCCTAACAGGTGCTACTACCTCATATCGCTGGTATCTTTACTATAAAAATGTTTATACTTTCATAAAGTTTCATAGTGTTTTCACACCAGTTTGGGGGTTAACTATTTGTCCATAGCTGGGACGCTAACACGTTCTACCACCCTGAGTCAGGTTTGGTCTAGGATCAACAGCAGTTATGAGGTGGTTCCATGCTCTTCCAACTTCAGTGTCCCGATCAGAGGCCTTGCTACTGGATGTAGTTTATCGTCATACCCAGGATTACCTGACCGATGCAATGAAGTGTAAAAAATAAATTAAAAAAAGAAATCAGATAAAGAAGCAGGTCAAATACACTAAATTATTTTTTATGATGTCAAAATTTATGTATACCTTAATTGTTTTCTTCCCTCAGCGAGGCAGAACATCCAGATTGGTTGATTGAATTGTTTTTTGTTTTTTTTACAGTTTATCAACCTTCTACAGGTTATTTAAATCCAGGAAATATTTTTAGATTGCAAGATTTTTTTGGAGATAACAATAACTTACTAATAGAGATCCTACTAATTAACCCATAGCTGGAGCGTAAGAGGTGAATTAATACCTATTCCAAGTGTATTTACCCGTAATTAAATATAACGAAGACGACTGCAATTGGAACACGCTTCTACGATTTCCAATTCCGAGCCGTTATCCATTTCACAATCCCAAACGGTGACCCATCTAAGCACTGACCAGGCTCAACGTTGCTTAAGATCGGTGACCGTACGAGAACCGATGTTTCAACGTGATATGGCCGTAAGCTCATTATACCACACACATATCCAAGCTTACAGCGCTGGGTATTTCGAAAGAGGTCACCCATCTAAATACTGACGAGACTCGACGTTGTTTAACTCCGCTGATCGTACGAAAACCGGTATTTGAACGCGATGTGACCGTAAAAACATTATGCCACCCGCACATCCAAGCTTACAGCAGGTGGTATTGCGAAATGGTTACCCATCTAGTTATTGACCAAGCTCGACGTTGCTTAACTTCGCTGGTCGTACAAAAACCGGTGATCAATGTGATATGACCGTAAGCCAATTAAGCACCCGAATATCCAAGCTTACAGTAGATAGTATTCCGAAGTGGTTACCCATCTTGCTATTGGCCAGACTCGACGTTGCTTAACTTCACTAGTCGTACGAGAACCGGTGTTTCAACGTGATATGGCCGTAAGCTCATTATACCACACGCATATCCAAGCTTACAGCGCTGGGTATTTCGAAAGGTGGTATTGCGAAATGGTTACCCATCTAGTTATTGACCAAGCTCGACGTTGCTTAACTTCGCTGGTCGTACAAAAACCGGTGATCAATGTGATATGACCGTAAGCCAATTAAGCCACCCGCACATCCAAGCTTACAGTAGATAGTATTCCGAAGTGGTTACCCATCTTGCTATTGGCCAGGCTCGACGTTGCTTAACTTCACTAGTCGTACAAAAACCAGTGATAAATGTGATATGACTGTAAGCCAATTATGCCACTCGCACATCCAAACTTACAGTTGTTGGTATTTCGAAATGGTTATCCATCTAGCTATTGGCCAGGCTCGACGTTGCTTAACTTCACTAGTCGTACAAAAACCGGTGATAAATGTGATATGACTGTAAGCTAATTATGCCACTCGCACATCCAAGCTTACAGTTGTTGGTATTTCGAAATGGTTATCCATCTAGCTATTGGCCAGGCTCGACGTTGCTTAACTTCACTAGTCGTACAAAAACCAGTGATAAATGTGATATGACTGTAAGCTAATTATGCCACTCGCACACCCAAGCTTACAGTTGTTGGTATTTCGAAATGGTTACCCACCTAGCTATTGACTAGGCTCGACGTTGCTTAACTTCGCTGGTCGTACGAGAACCAGTGTTTCAACGCGATATGGCCGTAAGCCCGGCAGTACATCAATAAGAAATTATGATAACCGAGAGAGTTACCGTTTGGTGTCAGTATCGACGGGAGATTTGGCGGTCAAATTGAATTTAGGTGAGAATGCACCATTTAAGGACGGGTATGTCTTGATTGGTTGATGCTGCGCAGCATAGCCGCTCAAATTAACCGTCTCTTTCGGCATGTCTTATAGATAAAGCGCGTGGGGGTCGCGATCGAAATTAGGGTTTGTTATCTTTAGAAAACAGGTCGGGTTACTAGAGGAGGGGGTATGATGTTGTAAAACCCCAAAACTCATAATGAAACCAGCGTATATCGACGAGTTCTTTATCGATTCATACCCTGCAATATTTCATCTTTTTTTTTTTTATACCAGGCTTAATGGGCCCCACAAATTGAAGAAGACGGTTACGAGCTTCCAAGGAAAAGGAACGCTTCGCACACTTTTTGATGAAGTCCATCGAATCAGAATCTTCTTTTTCTATACGCCGTGTCCCTTCAGGTCGTTGATGATCATGGCTCTCCACAATTTCCTCTCCTTTTGTAGCTCTTAATAATTGTCATCTTTTTATTATCTCTTCTAAACCTCACTCTGCCATCAATTTACTCACGCTCGCATTTCTTCTTTTTCTATTAGCCATGTCCCCTCAGGGTGTTAGTGATCATGGTCCTCCACAATTTCCTGTTCTTTGTAGATTTTAATAAATTTGGTATTTTTGTTATCTTTTCAAAACCTTGTCCGCCATGTATTTACCCAAGCACACATTTCTTCTGTTTCTATATGTCATGTCACTTCACATCGCTGGAGATCATGGCCCTCCACAATTTCCTGTTCTTTGCTTTCTTAATATATTTTGTCTTTTTTTTTTTATCTCTTCTAAGCCTTACTTTGCCATCCATTTATTCAAGCACGCATTTCTTCTGTTTCTATGGGCCGTGTACCTTCAGAACGTTGGAGATCATGGCCCTCCACAATTTCCTGTTCTTTGCTTTCTTAATATATTTTGTCTTTTTTATCTCTTTCTTGCTCCGCCGTTCATTTACTCAAGTTTGCTCGCTAGGTTAAGCATTGTTTTCCTCTGCACCTCTTCTTCTCTATGTGCCGTGTCTATTCAGGACGTAAGTGATCATGGCCCTCCACAATTTCTTTTCCTTTTCTTAATAAAGTTTGTCTGTTTCTCTCTCCTAAATCCTGACCCGCCATCCATTTACTCAAGCTCTTTAGGTAGGTTATCCGTTATTTTACTCTGTCCATCTTGCCTTCAATTTGTCTTGTGTGTATTAAATCTTCCTAGCCTTCTTTCCTCATTATGTGCCCTGGAAATTACAATTGTCTCTTCCTTTTTTTTTCCTTTTTCTTTAAAACTTCACATGTTCGATAAATAGTATTCTCAACATCCTTCTGTAGAATCACATTTCTGTTGCTTCATGTCTCCTCGCCATTCTGTAAGGAGACTGCCCAGCATTCGCTGACGTATAGGAGGACTGGTATTACGTAACAGTTCAGTACGCTTTTGTTTCCTTCTAACGAAATTTCATAAATAAAATGAAAAAAAGGATTTTGTATACCCCCTACCCCGTTTTAGAGGCCAGGTATTACAAATATGATATAAGAGATAAGGACATTGTATTTAGAATAGACTGCAAAAGGAATTAGTTTTGTGTAACATCCCAAGATGCTACAAAAACAACAGATTAACACAATAGCTCGAGTTATGTTCTTAAATAGTCTCGTACTATTTAGACTCTCATGTGGATGTCATGCATGACATCAACCGGTTCAGAAATATCTAAAGAGTCAGACATTTACAACGGCTTTCTCAGATCAATGATTAAAAATTGCTTCAGGCGGGTGAAACCCCTAGGTTCCATCCTTATTCAAATCACGTGAACTGGCGCTACAGAATCGCAAACAAAAGAATTCTACCGAATAACAGAAGCCACACTATTCGAGGAATTCAACAACAGCAACAACTAAAATAGATAGCACGTGTAACCCAAAGAGAAAATAATGACACAATCAAGATGTTGACTTTCGGCACTAATTCGGAGAAAAGGTTAGGAAGGAGATCCCCATCAATAATGGAAAGAGCGATAACAGTTAGTGGATATGAGGAACCTATTTTCCTGAAATATTATCCTAATACAAAGATTTTATAAATTTAAACTGAAAGTAGTACTGTCTGCTCGGTAAATGAACGCCAAATGTCTCCTCGTAAGGAAACGGCTAATATTATCATTATCATTAACAAAAATTCAGAGAAATGTCCACCAGAATTAAGGAAATGATTCAAGAGACAGAAAATTCAGCTGAGGAAGCAAGAAATCTCTCAGTTCTAGAGGCGAAAGAAAAACTGATATTCCTAAGCAGTCTCCCATCTATTTACACACCAGGCTCAACATTGCTTAACATCGCTGAGCGTAAGAGAAATGGTGTTTCAATGTGATACTCGCACATTCAAGCTTACATTTCTTGGTATTCCCAAGCGGTCACCTATCTAGGTACAGACCAGACTCAACTTTGCTTAACTTCGCTGATCCTACGAGAACAGGGATTTCAATGTGATATGGCCGCAAGTTATTGACCAAGCTCGACGTTGCTTAACTTCGCTGGTCGTACAAAAACCGGTGATCAATGTGATATGACCATAAGCCAATTCAGCCACTTGCACATCCAAACTTACAGTAGCTAGTATTTCGAAATTGTTACCATCTAGCTATTGACCAGGTTCGACGTTGCTTAACTTCACTGGTCGTACGAGAACCGGTGTTTCAACGTGATATGGCCGTAAGCTCATTATACCACACGCACATCCAAACTTACAGCGCTTGGTATTCCCAAGCGGTCACCTATCTAGATACAGACCAGGCTCAACTTTGCTTAACTTCGCTGATCCTACGAGAACAGGGATTTCGACGTGATATGGCCGTAAGCCCATCATACCACTCGCACATTAAAGCGTACAGTCCTTGGTATTCCCAAGCGGTCACCCTCCTAGGTACAGACCAGACTCAACGTTGCTTAACTTCGCTGATTGTACGAGGACCGGTGTTGCAATGTGATAGGACCATAAGCTCATTAGTTATAGTTCAATGCCGTACCTCACCAGGCCCACATACGGTTTTGAATTAAGAGTTATCCTTCTTCTCGACTGGTTGCCAAGTATGACGAGAGAATAGAGTCTCACACGCCATTTAACTCTTAGCTAACCGAAGGACTCATATCTTTCCAAAGCGTATTTGTTATAAAGTGGATGTAACGATCCTCGAACACGGGTTGCCAATTTCTCGTTTCGCGACTTTCACCACCTGCACATCCCCTCGAATACACTCAGCAGGAATTAGCAGAAGACTTACAGAAACATAACGACATAACATGCATAAAGGTATTCTAAATTATTTTCCTATAGAATTAAACCGAAAATCAGGAAGCGACTTATTGTTAGAGAACAGGAATTAATGGAATCATATAGGGCTTTTATAGGTAGAAGTGCCAGGGAAATGATTTTATTATGGAAATACATCGAAAATCAGGAAGATAAGGATTGTCAATGATCAAGTACTGATGCCATGGTTCCTGTTAGTCTAGGGTCACACGTAATTTAAAATGACAAAATAAATACGATACAGGAACTGTTAATGGTTGGCAATTAAGGGAGACAGTATAAGTTTATGGGAATTTAATTATATGCATTTATGGGTGTTTATACTGACAGTATAAGGTTATGCGTGTTTGTACAGAACCGCACGTATCAAAAAATAATCTTCTTTTTAGTTTCTTTGATATTACGATCGAAGAAGATCTATCTATCTATCTATCTATCTATCTATCTATCTATATATATATATATATATATATATATATATATAATATAGGTAGGTGGCCTGACGATTGCATATAGCATGAAACAGACTGTCGCCTCTAAGTGTTGACTTCTATGTTCACTTTTATATTTACACACGCTCTATCTCTTATACTGAGCACTTTATTCCATAAATATAGCACACCTTAAGACTATATATATATATATATATATATATATATATATATATCCCTAGACTGGGTTCTGTAGCCTTGGATGGTAACTGGTCTAGGAGAAGGACAACTCTGAATTCAAAACCTGCGGAGGGTCGTTTGAGACCATTGTGGCACGTAGTGAACCTGGTCTCTGTATTCGCCCCCACCCCCCAAAAAAAGTTTGGATTGTTCTGCACAAAACCTTCATCACTATAATCAAATCGCATGTGCTGGTGTCGGGCTGTCGGTTTCCTAGGAACTGATCTGCTTGACCCTCATACGTCGAATTATATATATATATATAAAGAAATAATCATACATAGAATCAATTAGCAATATTAATGCGATTAATGGCGAAATCACTTCGCTAGTAGAACATAATGTATGCATTAAAATCCTGTTAATCCATTGAATGATGTGATCCTCATTTATAAAACTGTTGTCAGATGTTTCTAGTGTATATTTTTTAAAGTTAAGCAAGTACTTTCGAAGATCCATGTCTTCATCGTCAGGCTGTAATTTTTTTTCCTTTAAAGTTAAAACTTGATGATGAAATAATTGTTTGTAGACTGAAAAATTTTTTTATTTGTCTTGTTTTTGCTTTATGCTATTTTAAAAAAATTCTTTCTGGTGGTCGTTTTTTCAATAAAATGTCGTTTGGGCCAACCCTCTTTAATCAGAATTATCCTGATGATCCGTTAGGTGAAACCTAGGTAGGTAGGTTCTGGCTCATTAGGTTTTCTAGTTATATATATATATATATATATAAAAGAAAGAGGTTGTAGAAACGAGAGAAAAGTATGTATATTAAAAAGAAGAGAAGAGAGGTGCCGCAAACGTTTTTGGTTGTAATGTGTGTTTTTTTTTAGAAAAAAAATATTATGCTTTATTTTCCATAATTTTACTACACGAGTTTCTGGTCTCGTGACCGTCTTCAGGTAAAAGCGGAGATTTCCACATATTATTAAAAATAATTATTTTTTTTTTTATGTTTTTCAATGTTAAATATTCTCGATATGAGACATTCTATATTTTTGTGTTAGTAATACGAATGTCTTTCTTGAATTGGCAATGAAGAGTTATATATATATATATATAATTTTCTACATTTTAAGACCAGGTTCAGTTTGCCCTACATATCCATTTTAAATTGACCTCTGAGTCCACCCCACAAAAAAAAAAAAAAAAAAAAAAAAAAAAAGAGGTAAGTACAGGAAATAATAATAAAGAGCAAAGGTAAGTAAGAATACGCTAGAAATTTATTTTTCGCGGTTGTTTAAAAATTATTCGAAATATTTCATGTAAACAATTTTTTTTTAACGAAGTACACGAAAAGTGGAGGAATATGTTTTAAATAATATAAATACTGCCTTTTTATTTTAAATCGAAATTATTCGAAAATTTCTAAGTAAGAATTCATTTTATCACGTCCTATAAGCATATTTTTGTTGGCTTGCGTCAGAGCATCAAGTTACAAAATAAACTCCATTCTTGAAATTTAGAGAATTAAAAAACTTATATTCGGGATCTAGATTGAATGTTCGTGGAAAAATAAAAATTAAAAAAATTAAAATTTTCTTGGAGAAATGTGTTTCTGTAAAATTGCAAAGTTATTATACCGGATGTAACATCAAAATTGTCCAATTGTTAGATTAAGCTTTGGACCGTTGTATCTTACAAATGATTAAAGATATCTTACTGGAATTCTCCGAGGATTTTATAACACTATTGGACTCCGTTTTGAACAATAAAAATGTATTTAGCTCTAAGTTGAATTGATGATCCCTCTTCCTGTTGTGACCTCCTGATTCAGTTTTCCTCTCTACTGTTCCCTCTTTTTTTAAACTTATTTGCCGTTTTCTGGATTGTTCTTGAATGGGCTTTGAAGATGGAAGCCAGAGTATGAATGTTGGTACCATTACAGAAGGCCTGAATGATCTTTTTTCTCTCACCATTGCTCAATTGGGAAGACATAGTGGGGCTGACACAAAATGATTTTAACCTGTTCTCTTTCTAGCTGAATAACTCAAAAGGTTTTTCAGTGATTCTTACGAAAAATTGTGTCAAGATGGCTAAACGTCTTATCTGAAAACTTGGAAAAGACCTCAATTTTTCTTCTTTTTTTTTTTTTTTTTTTAGATATTAGACATTCTGTAGGATGGACAATTATGCTGTTACACGATTTGGACAATCTTGCTGTTACACACGGTATGTATACTATAAATGATTCTTCCACGGAAATACGTGGAAATTAGTAAAGAGAGGGATTATCAATGGTCGGGAACTAAAGAATTCATTACTGACAGTATAGGACTGTGATGTGTATGATGTTCTAACAAAATCAGAATATTTTGAAAGATTATTGTTTCGGAGTTGGTATACCGTTGAAATCTTAGTTCCTCTGTGCATTTTCTATAAATATTTTTAGGGTAATTGTTCTGATGAGCTTTCATCGCTGTTACCTCAGCTTCACGAATATAAGCGCAGTACTAGATTGGCAGCTAGGTCTCATAATATCACCGTTGAAATTTCTAGTTGTAGCCGTAAGTTCTATGCTAATACTTTCTTCTTTTACACTTCTCGCTAGAGAGCTCTATTCTGGCTTCCTTTCAACTACTTAAAAATTTAAATGAAATATCAATGTTCATGTTCTGTCTCCTTGAACCCTGTCCTTTTATTGTTCTCTCTATTTCTTTCAATATCAGTAACACCATGCATCCTAGTGACTTTATTGCCTTGCTTGGGGTCAAATGATGACAAAACAACAAAAACAACTTACTATAAACTACGATTAGGTTTCCCGTTCCCTCTAAATTCTTTTCCTGCTCTTTCATTTCCAGTGCCCCCACTTGCATCTTAGTGGCTTTATCACCTTGCTTGGGCCTGTGCGTCTAACTCTGTAACCCTCTACCTCGAGTTGCTCTCAGGCCTTGTACAAGGTGAACAAAATTGTAAAAAAAAAACAAAAAAAACAAAAAAAAAAAAACAGAAGAGAAATGAATTGCAAATGATTTTTGCCAGTCAAGGAAAATGGATTGTCAATTATCAGGAATTTAAGTAAACCTTACTGGAAAACAACAGAAATATTTATATATTGCAACCAAGCTTACAGCATCTATTATAAGCAGACTGTCACCCATCTTGTTACTGACCAGACCCGATGTTCCTTATCTTCTGTGATCGTACGAGAAATATATATATATATATATATATATATATATATATATATATATATATTTTATTAATACTGATTTTGTTACGTTTGCATGTCTTTACAGACGTGTACGTTGGGGTGGGCATAGACACGCGTCTCTCCTTGTATTCTGGGACATGATTTTTATCCCTCTCCCCAGAGTGTTCCTGGGGCCCTACGGTCTTAGAGTGTCTGATTATTACCCGAATTCAATATCGAATTTATTCAGAGAAGTGAACGAATTGAGCCTTAAGTCACGTCGAGTTCTCGCCACCAATCCCATAGAAATCAAAATCTCGTGTCCAATACCATCCGGTCAATAGAACGGAAAGTGTCGCAAGCCTGATCAGAAGGGTGGGCAGATAGAAAGGAAAGAAAGATTCATTTGGTCGATAGGCAGTAAATCTGGTCGTGTTTGATTGGAAATATCGTTTACATCCATGGTGCATAGTGGAAGAGTGTCAGAAGTTCTAATAATATATTTTATAGTTGATAGACAGAGACAGAATGACACCTAGATTGATATGGACAAGATAATATATATATATATATATATATATATATATATATATATATATATATATATATATATTTAAAAATATGATTCCATCGCTACATAAGAGTTCTCATGTTTCAAAAACAAGAGCCGAAAACTTCAATATAATTATTTGAATTAAATTGAATTAAAGTACCAAGCTCTGTTCCATCTTCAAGCGAAATATTTTTTCAAATTCTTATGTAGCGATGGAATCATATTTTTAAATAAGTAATTATATTTATGCTCTACTTTTGTATCGAGCATTATTTTTTTTTTTTAAATAATAACAAAATTACTAAAGAACTTTGGATTATTTACCTAAC